TGTCTGCGCTATTTGGTTTGGAGGAGGATTTCTTATTTGCGCTTCTTCCCTTTGTCAGTTCATATTAGCTACCAAATCTCACTTTGGTAAGAATTGTAACCCCACGTGGAGCCAAGTTTCTTTGGTCGCGCCGGCGTGTACAGCTTAGCTAAGTACGACTCGGACTCCCCAGCCAAGCTGAACGGCTCCCATAGTCCATATTCCGCAGTCCTTGTTGAAGCCAAACCGCTACAATTCCGAATTGAAGCGGAGCGCATGGCGCATACTATATGAGAACGCTCGAATCGGTTCTGCTTTAAGCTTTTTGGGCTGGGTTTCTGCTATAATCCACAGGTTTTGGGCTAGAGACTACGCACTTGAACGTCTACGCGAAGAGCACTCAGCTTCGACTTCAGTTCCAAGTCAAAATGTTGCTCTGTCTGAAAAAATTCTTTTCTTTAGGAACTTGTTCAAATTCTGAATTTATTCTGAATTGAAGGCGGTGAAAACAAATTGCTCCTGTGGAATGTGGGTACCGGTGAAGCTCTATTGGAAATCGCCGGTCATCCGGATCAGATCTGGTGCATCGGATTCAATTATGACGGATCCCAGTTTGTTACCACTTGCAAGGTATGAACCTCGAAATTCCTCTATTACCACGAAAAATTTCAAAATTCAAATAAAATCTTCCTTTCATTCTGATTTTGTTATATTTTTCCAACTTGGAATGAATCCCTTTTAGGATAAGAAGATCCGAATTCTGGACACTCGCTCTGGAGACGTACTCCACGAAGGTATGGGTCATGAAGGCGTGAAACCACAGCGTGCGATTTTTGTTCGCGATGGACGAGTAATTACCACAGGATTTACTAAGAGATCCGAACGGCTGTACTCACTCAGGGCGCCGGTGAGAAATTTTCTGCTTTTCGAATTGGAACCCGAAACAGGCAGGGGGAGGTCATGACGTGCCATGTACCTAGTGAATTGCACGGATCACTCGATCCGCAAGCCGGCGCGTTTTATCCTCCCATATTAGTCTAGTACCAATTGGCCGAATTGGAAGGTATACAGGGTTTGTTTGGTCTGATCTAATCTGATAGTCAAGTGAAGTATTTCGAGTTCCAACTACTCCAACTCATGAGTTGAGCCTACTCATTCTTCAAGAAAGTCGGGTTGCGTTATTCCTATACCTGTTGGTCGTCCCCATCCTAATGAGCCCGAAAAAACTTACGTAGAGCTATATCTTTCAATTTTAATTTGTGATCGCGTCAAGAAATACTTTCTCAGGATAACCTCTCCCAACCTATCATAGAAGAAGAATTGGATACCTCCAATGGAGTGCTGTTTCCTCTGTATGATGAGGATACTGGTTTAGTTTATCTTTGTGGAAAGGTCAGTTCTTTTTCCCAACTTCACGACATATTCCTTTAGAGAAAATCGTGTTATTTCTGATACTCAGAGCATGATCATGTACAGTCTAGTGAGCTGCGGAAGCGGAGGCGTTTTAGAGGGGGAGGGGTAGGGAGTGGATTTGCAGTGGCCCCAGCCTCTTCTCGACTAATCGTAGAAGCTGGCAAGCGATCGCAATTGGTGCAGAACGGGCTGGCGCTGCAGCAAACCGAGCTCCTCCCCCCCCCCTCCCCAACACGCCTCAACGTCCGCAGCGAGTACGACTGTAGCGGACTGTGTCTCTAATACACCCGAGGAAGTCAAACTGTGATGTATAGCTTCATATTCTGTTGAATAGAAGATTTAGGACTCATTTAACAGATGTAAAGCTACTCTCGCCCTATCCATTATCCAACTTGCCACTTTTTTTAAGCTGATTTTAATTCAGGGAGACTGTGCAATTCGTTACTACGAGGTGAACCAAGAATATCCCTATATGCACTACATTAACACCTACACTACCAGTGAACCCCAACGAGCTGTTGGATTTCCAGAATAAACGAGGGGTGAATTCGGAAGAGAATGAAATTAACAGGTACGTGGAAGGATTTTTCGCTATCGTTTCACTTCTAGCCGTGTAGGCAAGGGTAGTGTGGTGGAAACTCCCACAACATCCATTTGCATCGCTTCAAGTGAAATCCCTGATGGGTCCCCCCCCCCATTCGGTGAGTCATTCTAAGCTTCCTGGTCGTTAAGTGGTATCAGACTTGCTTGACAGGATACGAATACAAATCTGTACGTCAGCGCCGCTGTAAGTCATTATGTAGGCCAACTCGCGGTGAAGGGGAAGGTGTGAGGTCATATGTGGAAAATGTTTCTGGTTGTTGACTCTCGATCTCCCCGTTTAATCTGTGCCATCACCTTACCCCCGCCTTCCCACTAGCCCTCGTCTCCTTTCGTACGATGGCAGTTTTTAGGGAAAAACACCTGCGAGTTCCTTGGGAAACTGGAAAATGGGAAAAGGGTGGGTGTTGGGAAAAACTTGAAGATGGTAGGCAAGATAAGGAGGGGGGTCGAACTGGAAGAGGGAGTCAGATGAGGTGGTGGTATTTTGCAAAATTTTCCCCCTAACGGCGTTCTCGTCAAGAGTACAGTGACGGATTAAACAAAGGCGAAGGTGTTTTACCCCATCCAGTCGAGTTGTAGTACTTCCTGAAGGGCAGTCCTGAAGAACTTTGTACACCAAACTATTCACTGAAGAATAGTATTTAAGTGAAGTGATATGTCGAGAATCGAGTTGCTACCTCGTTTCCCTATGTTCGCGTCAGACCATAGCCAGGGTGTGTGACTTTAAGTCCGATTTTCGCACATATACAACATTAAAAGTGCCAGAGTTTCGCAGAACAAGTCCACGAAATATCATGGATTGCGACAATGGGCGATTAGCTGCGAGATAGTGGATGAGCTTTTAATTACAAAATATCACTTCAGATGTGCATTACTATCGGTTTCCCGACATTGCGCGCCTCAAGCGCTTCATCAGTCCTCCCGTCCATCAGTCGGACTGCTACATTTAGACTTCTCTAAATTACCTTCTTCAGAATCTACAAACTAACCACGAAAGGCGTCGTCGATGTGTTGCAATTCTTCGTCCCGAGGAAATCGGATCTTTTTCAGGTTTGTATTTTTTTTGTTTTGTTTCATAGAGGGATGGAGAAGATAGTGTGGGGGAAGGGTTTCCAAGTCTTAATTAGTGAAAATGGAGAAGGGTCTACTTATCTATGCCAGATATTGCTCAAATAAGGTTACAGTTTCTTCGCAGCGGCTGAGGGGCGTGTCAGACAGAATTGGTTCGGCGCTGCGCCAGACCCTTTCTTCACTAG